TGGGTCACATCATCTTTAAAGATTTTGTGTATTTGTGTTCTTCCTTTCATATCACAGACTAGATCACTGATATCAGTGAGCAGATATTAGCTCCCCAGAGTCCCTGCTAATCCCACATTTTCTTATTTCCTACTGGTTAATTGCAGGTGAGGATTCTTAATTGGTAACATGTTCAACACTATCTGGCGGTATACTGTACATGTAAATTGATGTCACAGGATGTCACATACATTGTAAATTAAAATTTAAGACTTTTAAGTAGGTAACAAGAATGGGGGAAAGCACGTACTTTTTTCCCACACAAACTGCTGACAACACAATCTGAACTACACTGACACTTAATAAGGTTGATATCTTACAGTTTCAGTTGATAACTCAAAAAGGCATGTTTCATCCAGTGTACTTGTACCCGAATTTATTGAAGTGCATAAAAATCTATTAATACATGCATGTGCCTTTGTGCGTTTGGTGTTTATGTTTGTTACTTATCATGAAATAGCAATGTCATACTCGATGTCTCGATTTTTATACTTAGATCACTTGCTCTTTGGACTTACAATGGAGAGCTGTGATATCTGTAAAAAAGTCCATCAACAATGAATTGGAATCTGTTCTTCTGAGGTTGATCCAGCACTCATGTTCCAGAGATTGGTAGCCATCAGTAGAGAATGTTCATTCGATGATCAAAAGGATCTCTTCACTTTTGAGCCATGCAGTTTCCCACCTGCCCTGTTTGAGTCATCAGGCCTTCCTTTGCAAGCCAACAAAGCGGCCCTCTCAGATGGTCTTTGGAAGGGGGTGGAGCATAAAGAGCCCCTCCCTCCTGGAAGTACCACAGTGCACTGTATACTTGATGGTAGAGCCCTTTTGCACCGAATTCCTTGGATGCGTGGAACCACATATACTACTACTTCTCAGAAGTATGTTGACTATGTGTCACAGAGGTGTTTGATGGATATTCAGACCAACCGACCATCAAAGATGTCACACATCTACGACGTTGTGGAGGAGCTCAAGGGCATACCATACAGTTTGATGAAGATATGTTAATGAATGCAAGAAAAGAGGAGTTCCTCTCGAATGAGGTGAACAAAACACGCTTCATCAATCTCCTCAGTGAGAAGCTTGAGAAGGCGGGTTGTTCGACAATCCATGCAAGAGGTGACGTAGATCTCCTAATAGTAGAAACTGCAGTGGAGTCTGCAAGGACAATAGAGACCATCCTTGTTGGTGATGACACTGATCTCTTGGTGCTCCTTATCTTCTACACTGAGATGAATGGTTGCAATATATTCATGGCACCTGAACCCAAGGCAACTTCCAAACAGAAGAGAGTTTGGGACATAAAGCAGTTGAAAACCAAACTTGGGACATCAGTATGCCGTAATATATTGTTCATACATGCCATCCTGGGGTGTGACACCACTTCAAGGGTATTTGGTCTGGGCAAAGGCCTTGCTCTGAAGAAACTGAAGAACGACCCATTCTTCTGGGAACAAGCTGAAATGTTCAATGCACTAACGTCAGATGAGAAGGCCGACATTGTTAAAGCAGGACTGTACAAGGGATGTCAGACAGAATCCTTGGATCAGCTTCGATACAAACAATTTTGTTCCAAAGTGGTAACTACCATCATGGCTGTTTCGGCACAATTACTGCCACCAACAT